TAAAAGAGTAACTCCAGAAGAGTAACTCCAGTAAATTTCCAAAAGAAACTCAGATACCCGAAATCAGTGAATTCGATGAAAATAATGAGATATCAATGAGTTAAAGAAATCGTCTTTCTTTTTTCCTATATTTGAGACGCAGGGCTTAGCTCTAGCGGGCTGGGCTTTTTTAACCTCAACAGTAGCTTCTTCGAGAACAACCAATGAGTGCATAAGAGCTGATGTCATGTTAAAAAAAAGATGGAATCGATATATAAATAATACATTTAAATATTCATGCAAAAATGAAATGAAAAAATGGGCTTGAGATATAATCCACAACTTTTTACATATATCCTTTTGCAAAGAACTAGTATTCATTATGAAAAAAAAATTCTTATATGGTGAAGGCAGTTATATTTTGATATTTGATTAGTCTGACAATTTCGATGATTGCCAATTTATATGGCTCATTTGATATAGATATCTATGTGAAAATCCTTGAAGGATTTAAGTTGCTTGAAGCACAAAAATCTAATTCTCGAGCAATTATATAGAATTCTATATGAATTACTTGATAGTGATAGTCCTTGAAGGATTAAAATATACTTGAAGCATGTAAATTGAAACCCTGAACACTTGTTCAAGTAAATTATAAAGATTTCTAGATGGATTATATGTACTAATAAATAGTAATCGCCTTAAAGATATATATGACTAAGCAAATATCATGATATATATATATATATGGTTGAGAAAATATTATGTGATTTATGGTAGAAACAAACATTTGATACGATTCTATCATGTTTCTGCTCTTCTTTGGCAAAGTATTGATATTTGTTTTATATGCTATTCTATTTAAAGGTAAATTGGCCTATTAATTAGTGAATATTAATTAATAGAATATGTTCATAAAACATAATTAATTAAATATAATTTACTATTATTTTGATTTATGGATATTATTAAAACTCCTAAAAAGCTTTCTAAAATTATTAATTCTTCAAAGAAGGAATCTGAGATGAAAGAATTTGAAAATACAAAATTTTGTCTTGTCCTAAAGACTAAATATTTTATAAATGAAATTTTTGTCCATTAAGTAGTACATATAATACAAGGGATTAAAATAATTTATATGGACAAAACTCATCCAATAATTATAAAGATAGTTTTGAGGTCATTTAATAAGATAAAGAACTAATTTCGACCTCTAAAAAAATGATAAAAGACTCTTTGATCATGAAGTACCGTATCTTTGTGCAATAAAGAAAATACTATGTAATGAAGTATCATAGTTCCATACCGAGTTTATATCTTGATGAGCATTATACTTACATGACATTTTCTTTAAACTTATTAGCAAATTGAAGTTCTTCTTAAATATAAAAATTGAGTGAAATTGAAAATGTATTTTAATGAATATGATTTTATATTATACTCATATTAGTTTTGATTGGCTATGAAAATATAGACCACTTATTTGCTTCACCTTTCATTATATGGAAGAATTTCATAATTCATAAAGCAAGCCAGTAATATTTCTAGTTGAAATTGATAATTTGATAGGTTGAAATTGATAAGTTTCATAATATTGTATGAAGATAATATTAAATGTATTATATTTCCTGAAGAACTGATACACTATAAGAAAAGACAAATGTATTTTTGAAAAAGTTCTTTTTAACTCATAATCTACGAAGAAATAAAGATTTTAATATTTAAACATATTCACTCAAGTGATAATTTTGTTGATTTGCCTATCAAACCACTTCCTACAACAAATTTTGAATTTGATAAACTCATGATTTCTAAGTGTTATTTTTATAAAAGTGAATACCCATTGTATTCTCTGTCCCTTTAACTAAAGTTTTTTACCCCTGGATTTTTTTGCTAAAAGTTTTAATGAGACAGTATATTATTACGTATTTTAGAAAAAAAATAATGTACTCTTTTGCTTTTACTAAGATTTTTTTCCCAAAAGATTGTTTTAGTAAAGTTTTAATGAGACATGTTATTTATAATAGATATAAAGGGGAGTCTTATAATAGATATCCAAGGGAGAGCATTATAAATATTATAAAAAAATTACAGTGTGATTTAAAAAATAACTAAACAAAATATTTGATTTAAAAAAATTGTGGAATTAGAAAATATATGATTATATGAATATTTGGCGTAAAAAATTTTATCATTTTTTTAAATTATTTTTTAGTTGTATTTTATTTAAATGAAATATTTCGTTATTTTTTAATTATATTTTGACTTAAATTAATTTTTTTTTTTAAAGTAATAAATTGGTATTTTTGTTCTTTTGTTGTAAGTTAGAGAGTAAATTGTACAAAAAGTTATCTTTGAGCAAAATATTGCTCCCAAATTCGGGTAGATTGAGCTTTATTTTTATTTATAAAGGTTGTATGTATATATTCCGAAAGAGACAATGCCTCTTTCCAAGGGGAGTTTCAAACAACAGTAGCAGTAGCCCGCTCAATTCCAGAAGAAAAAGGCCCTCATCAGTGAGGGCATCTTTTGATATAGAAGTGCTTGATTGTCCCATTTGCTTTGAACCCTTTCACATTTCAGTCTTTCAGGTTTTGCTTTCATCAGCTTATGTCTTTCGACTTTATATAAAGTTTTGTGCAAAGTATCTTAATGTTTGATTAGATAAACATTTTTTCCCATTTTATTTTGGAAATTTTACTCCTTAACTCAAAAGCATTATTCTGGTCAATCCAGAAATTAACCTAAAAATTGTTCAAATTGTAGTTTTTTTGTTGAACGTATTGAAATTCGGTAAAGGTTATTTAAATGTGAAAATTATCTGTCCCTTACAGTTTCTTGGTCCTGATGCTTCCAATGGTGATAATAGAAAGACCTTGGATATCTGCATAGCAACGTACTTGAGTCCTGCAGATATCCCGAAGTAGTACAAGAGAAGTTTGCAGTTGTTAAATGGAGGCTTGTAACCTGGATATGCTCTAGACAATGTCGGGGTTACGAAACTGTTTTGGTTTTTATTCGTTTTGTTGTTGAGTAACATACTAACATATGTAGCTTATAGTTCATTGAGTAAAGCGGAATTCACTGATGTGTTCTGTTTTCTATTTCTCTTCTTCTTCTTCTTCTTATATATTTATTTACCTCTGCAACCTGTGATAGGGAAAATGATGAAAAAAAAAAAACAAAACGATGTTGAAGAATTTGAATTTGATTGAATATGAATTTAACATGATAAATTAGTTGCATCAACCACATCATATTTGATGAATTGCTATCACATTAATCCCAAAGTTCAACACTGCTTATAATTTTCTTTTCTACTACAAGCCTGCAAAGTTTTATCATGGAGAATATGCTAACAACTCTCCCGCTCCACTTTTTACTGCCCAAGGCTTCAATACATTTCGAGTTTCTACAGGAGCTGGTGCTATCTGAGAACATTAGCTGATTTGGATTTGTTAATTATTGTATATTATTGTAGGCATGGCCATCGATTCAAAGTTTTGAATCAAAACCGCCGGTTCAAGGGCCGGTTACATAAATATTAGAATTTAAATTTGAATTGGCCTGAAATCAGCGGTTCCAATTCGGTTCAAATAAGATATTTTCTATTTTTATTTTTAAAATGATAATCACTTAACCTATTTTATACATATCTAAAAGTCTCAATAATATTTTACTACATGATATACTTTACTTAAGATTTTTTTTTTTTTTTTATCAGCGGTTATCCCAGATTCGTTTTCAAATAAGAATATTTTCTATTCTTTATTTTTACACCATGATAATCACTCTAACCTATTTTAATACATTTATCTAAAAGTCTAATAAATATTTTCCTACTGGGATATACTTTACTTAAGATTTTTTTTTTTTTTTTTTTTTTGAAAATACACTTTACTTTTTAAAGTTTTAAAACATTTCCTGAAAAAAAAAAGTAAATGATAAAAACAAAAAGAGAAATAATTTACAGTCTAAAATTAATACGTTGTTTCTTACTTTTTTTCTCCTTTTAATTATTTACTGAATTATCAAAATTAATACTTCTTTGAAGTATCATTTCAAAGCACATTTTCACCTTTATAATTTATTTACTATAATAATCATTTTAGACAAATAAAAGTGATAATTATTTTGATTAATTTTATTTTGTAAAATTAATTAATTTAACTTTCTTATACTGAGTATTAGCATTATTCTTACAATCTATTTAACAAACAATATTCTCATTTACCAACTACCAATTCATTTTAAACACTCACTCAATATTACATCCCCACCGCCCTAAAATATATATATTTAGAAAAAAAAGATGATAGCACACACTGTCTAAATACTCATTTATTTTTTTAATTTTGCAATAAAATAAAAAAAATATAATCGTAGGAAATCACAACCACTCACTTAACCGACAGACATAGCAAAGCAGCTGAGCAAAGAAAATAAGAGCCAGGTATCAAGTTTGACTATTTTTTAGAAATTTTATTCTTATATGAGTATAAGCATTCTAAATTTATTTAAAATAAAATTTACCAATTATTTTTAAACTCATATTAATATTTTTGAAAGAAAGATGTAACATTAAAATCTTTTTTTTTTTGAAAAAAAAAAAAATATATCGTAGGAAACTTTAACCGAAACTGCACTGGCAAATCAAGAGCCGGTTCAAGTTTGATATTTTAAAAATTTCGACGCGATTCAATGAACTGTTCAAGTTTGACATTTTAAAAATTTCGACGCGATTCAATGAACCGGCCATGCCTAGATTATTGGTTTCAAATATCATATTAAAAACTTATATTTTGAAAAATGGAATTGATAAAGACAAGTAATGGTATTTGCTTACAAGTCGTAGAAACAAATTAAGAATGAGACCATTTGTTCTGACTAATTCTTGGTTAAACCATTTGTTCTTTAGTAAACTATATTTTTACATTGATAGTATTGGGTTAAATTTATTTACAAGTTGAGTAGATTAATTAATTAATATTAATTAATTATTATTGAGGAGTAGACTGTAATAGTAGGCAACACAAAAATATATGTCAAAGGATGAAATTTCTTAATTCCTAGCAATAAAGGCTAATAACAACGTAACCGAACCGTATGGCAAACAACCTCAAATGCCAGAAAATGAGTGCAAGTGCAGCCCCAAAAAAAACTTGACCTACAAGAACATTCATACACAAAATATGACCCATACTATAAATGAAGACCAGTGGTTAATTGTCCAATGAAGTTAGTTGCCAATCTATTGGAAGATTTCCCATTTTCTCCAAAAGCTTGTTTGTCTGAGAGAAATGCCTGACCATATCACAGTGTAGAATAGTTAATAGATGTGTGAATTGTGAATTTCAATATTTTAACACAAGGAAAACAAAAGGATTTGGATATATAAATATCCATTATTTTAACTACTTCATTGCCAACAAAAAATATATATATATATATATATATATTATGAAGATATCCCACTGAGATGGTGTGATTCTCTATCCATGATAGTCTACATTTTTGAACCCTTGTTTGATGTTTTGACTCGCTAATGACCCAAAAATTTTAAGGGCATTGTAAATTGGAGTTGACTGATTTCTAAAAGCACTAAAAGTTGATATTTAGAGTTAAAGGTTAGATTGATGAATTACAGTATTTATAGTATGAGCATCCTCTTTCATTGACAAGCTTGTTTTTTTATTCAGGCCCAAATCAAATCTACTCATTCGATTCATTGTGCCAACTCAAAATTTGCAATTGCAAGCAAAAGAAGAGTTATATGTTTCAACAAATAAGCTTTATTGAAATTACACTAACATTGTGAGACCTTCAAATTGTTTCAAGTAGTTCAACAGTAACTCGTGAAGGACCAATGCAAGAATCTCATCAATCATCATGAAGAGCACGAAGAAAAATTTGGAAAATCAAAGCTTTTGATTGTTAATATTTCAAAGAAAGTGTATGACAGAGACATCAACCAAGCTAAGGATAAGCATGAAGAATTCAAGGAAACTTTTCCAAAATGAAGACGAAAAAGATATGGAGTCAAAATTGGCAACATGACCAATTTTCTAGTTAGACAACAAATGCAAAGAAGTTGATATTATCGCAGGATAATTGATTTCTTATATAGTGCTGACGAATATAACAAAGGAAAGAATGATTCCGTAACTTAAGTTTCATTGATTTCTTAACTCCAATTGCTTATTCTTCGGCACTGAAAAACAGGATGGGTTTTCTTTTACTAGGAGAGCATGATGTAGTCAAGGAAAGAAATTAGGTTATTTACTTTTGATGTATGAGATTCAGATTTTCATGTAAAACTTTCTAGCGCAGAACGGTTTTACTATTTAGAAGTTAGTTTGCTCCCTATTAAAATAGGCTAAACATTTAGCCAAACTTTTGAGTAAATGAGGACAATAAATAGTCCTTCCCTATAAATACCTATATAACCTAGTTATTTTTCAAGGCTTTTAATAATGGAATTTGATTTCACATTATATATCACATGCACATTTATTAAAAAACATATCAGGCTAGTATTTGAGGAAAAAAGAAAAATATTGAGTATTAAATAGTGTATATCCAAACACAAACAAGTACTCGCACATTTATACAAGTCACTATTATTATTGCAAAAACATAATTTCCTCAAAACCATGGTGGTGAAGCACAAACCCATATCCACCCAAATACCTTTGGGAGGGTGAGCATTCCCTACCGAGTTTGAGAAGTTTGCCAATAAAACCTGATGTGGCAGAGTGAAATTGTGGATACATTGCACTAGTGTCACTCAAATAATCAATATTCCGGTCATAAAAGGTCAATTTATTGCAATTTTGCTAATCTTTAATTTTTTGGGTAGAAGCTAATCTTTAATTTTGTGTCAATTTTTTGGGTAGAAGCTAATCTATTAGGAGTTAGATTCCTCATTAGTTTATGATTTGTATTCCTAAATAGCTAGGTAGCAAAGGAATTCTTTATATATAGACCTATTGTTTTCGTCAAATATCCCCCCAGGACCCGAAAACATCCTTTTTCTGATTTTTGATGAAACAAAATATTTTTATTTTAGATGCGGTGCTGATAAATCGGTCTTATAAACAATTTTGAGTCGCCACCCATTGTTTAGGCAATGGGACCGTTTTTATAAAAATGACTTCATTTGTCTTATAAAACAATTTTGAGTCGCCACCCATTGTTTAGGAATGGGACGCTTTTTATAAAATGACTTCATTTTAAAACCCAATTTGTTTTAAGGCCAAATTATTTTAAAAAGACTGGTCAAGGCCGCACCAAATAGCCGATTTGGGTAAGGGAATTGGGGTACATCGGCCCGTTGGAAGCCGAACGCCGAAACAAACCGGCCTCTATTATTAAACCTAATGATTTCTAATTTATTTTAGTTAGACAAGCCAAAATTATTTGTTTTATTTAAACCCAGCCCAAATAAAATCGACTGAGTTCCTAAAATTTCTGGAAAATTAATTTAATCGGTCCCAAGCAAATCTATTGAATCACATAACAATTAATTCAAATTAAAAGCAATTAAACCAAATAAAATAAAAAAACCCGTCTTGCTTATGGTTTTAAGGCGGGCGACAAACCGGAATCAAAAATATTAAATGGAATAAATAAATGACTCCGCTCTGCTCTTGCCTTATGGTTAAAGGCGGGCGACAAACCGAAGAATAAATCAAATAAATAAAAGACCCGCTCTTGCCTTATGGTTCAAGGCGGCTAACAAACCGGATCCAAAAATATATATAAATCAAATCAAAAATTAAATCCATAAACTAATAAAAATAAAGCCATACATAATTTTAATATTTGAATCACATTTTAATTTTTTATTTTTAGTTTAATTTCATTTTTGCATTCAACCAAAAATACTAAAATTCATACAAATAAATATATATAATCACATTTTAGTATTTTAAGCTTAATTAAACTGTGATCTGTTCATAATTGGCCATTTTCATATTTATTGAAGAAATCAAACTTTATTTATATGTAAAATTTATTATTATATATTTTTTTATTTTTTCGGATGAATAGTGCGTGAACAGTGTGTTAATAGTGTGTGTACAGTGCATGAATAGTGCGTGAACAGTATGTGAACAGTGAATTTCTGTAAAATTAAGAACATTTACTGTTCATCGATGAACAATTACTGTTCATTGATGAACAACTATTTATTTTTTTTTTTTTTTAAGAATTGATTTTTACATTATTTCTTGTTTAAATGTTTAAAATGTGATTAAGGGCATATAAAAAATGGCCAAATAAACAGAATACAATTAAAAATAAAAAAGCTTTAAATTACTAAAATCAACCAAAAATATGTTAAAAAAATAAATATGTAACAAATACAAAAAATATATAAAAGATACAAAATGGTTAAGGGAGTTACCTGATCCTCAGATTGAAGATTGTAATAGATCAGCTGTCTTTTTAAGATCTCCTAGACAGATTTATTTCCAAGGTTTAAAAGTGAATTTTCTTTATTATTATTTTTTTTGTTATTTTCCTCTCTTGGCTTTTTGAGTCTCTATTAGCTATTAATTCATAAGAATTTTTAGAGAGAAATGTAACCGCACAATATTATTTTTTAGAGTTTTTAAATTGAAGAAGTGGAGTGTAGAAGTGAAGAAGTGTAAGTGTGTAGAAGTGTAGAGTGTAGAATGTAGAGTGTGTAGAAGTGTAGAGTGTAGAGTGTAGAAGTGTATTTATAGAGGTTTGGGGGTACTGTAGCAGTGTAGTACAGTACTGTAGCAATGTAGTACAGATTACTGTAGCATGCATTACAGGTACTGTAGCAGTGTCACTGTAGCATAGTTACTGTAGCTCCTGAAGACCAAGAGAAAACTACTTTCACTTGTCCTTATGGTACTCAAACTACAGACCGCTTTTCTTAAGCATTTTAAGACCGATGAGAGTGACGAGTTCGGATTGCGTGATTTGGAGAGTTTGAGACAAGGGAAGGATGAAGGCTTTTCTGATTACTATAGGAGGTGGAGAACAAAGCTATACAGGGTTCAGACGAGACCAAAGGATAAAGAGTTGATCAGAATCTTTATTAGGAGCCTGTTGCCCTTCTTTAAGGAGAGGATGTTAACCCAACCTTTCACTGATTTTTCTCTAGTTCAAAGCGCTGGTTTGAATATAGAGGAGTTGTACAAGGAGGAAAAGAAGAAGAACAGAGGATTTGGCAATTATCGGACCTCCTATGGTGACAGAAATGTCGGAAGTAGCAATCAGAATCAATCAAGAAGCAGTAATACAGTGGGGGCAGTTAATGAAAGGGTCAGAAGAGAATTCATTGACTTGGGAAGACCCTTGAGTACAGTGGAAGACCCTTGAGTACAGTGCTGAGATCATGTATCAAGAATGGGGTACTTTCAAAGCTGCCAGTCGATCCAACTAAACCTATTCGGGGGAGGTATATGGATCGGAACTGCGACTACCATCAGTGCAATGGGCACTCTACTGATGAATGTTTCAAGCTAAGACATGACATTCAAAACCTGATCGACAGCGGGAAAATAACCAAACCTTCCGAGAGAAACAAACCAAGTACGAAGAACAACTCGCTCCCTCAGTACCAGTACATCTGTCCGCCTCACAAGTCTCAATCGGGTGGATCAGTTAATGCAATCGAAAGTGGACGAAAGTGGATTGCCGGAAGAAGTTGTGTTAGCAGAAGCTGAGTATGAAGAAAGGATGTGCGCAATGCTTAATATATGGGATGATTGCAGTAGCGAAGATGAAGCCGAGAAGCCCGTGAAGATAGAAATTGAGAAGAACATCACTGTAAAAGTGGGCGATGTGCTAGAGGATGAAGACGAGCAGATACAGCTCGCAATCCAAAAGAGTCTAGCTGACCAGGAAGAGCAATGGTATTATAGCAGTGAAGAAGATGTGAATGAGATAGGCATCCAGAGCTTGACTCGAAGTGGACGGGTGTATAATCCTAACAGTAGTGCTCAGATCAAAGGGAAGGAAGTTGCCACTGATAGTGCAAAGGAGAAGACAACAGAAAAGGGCAGAGAAGAGACAAAAGAAAAGAAAAAAGAAGAGGAAGTGGTAAAAGTGCAGAAGAAGACTGTTGAAGTAGGCGAGAGCAGCCAGAACAGGGCACCCAGTGGCTTGACAGCTAATTCAGTGTTGAGCCAGTTGCAAAGGACAAAAGCTGATATTTCTTTATGGGATCTACTAATAGCCTCCAAAGAGCATAGGGAGTCCTTGTTGGAAGCAATGACATTTGTCAGAGTCCCAGCCCGGATCCAGAGTATTGACATGATCAATGT